AGCTAGAGATTTTTATACTTCGGTCCTGGGTGCAGGCTCAACTTCATCTGGTCGGAAATCTTTGAGTGGTAAGGAAGCTGAGCAGCAATCTGAGGCATTAGATTTGGTTTCCGCAGGGATGATAGAAGCGGCAAAGCAACGCCAGACGGAGGCTAAAGAGCAGAGGATGACTCGTGCAGCCTATAAGCGTAAAGAGAAGGAGCAACGTAAAAAAGAGCCCAAAGAGAGTTCTCCTGGAAGTGCTTCACCGCCGGTGGGAGGAGCAAGACCCAAGAGTTATGCAACACACGCAGCTCTGTCAGATTTTGATGGTGTCTTCTCCAGGCTGCGTGCCAAGGGAGATGGCAAAGTTTTTGACCTGGAATGTTAATGGATTGAATTCTCCTCAGAAACGGAAAAAAATCTTTTATTATTTGAAGCAACATACCAATGATGTTATTTGTCTACAGGAAACTCATATTTTACTTAAAGACCAGAAATATTTAGTTAATGCTCGTTTGGGATCTCATTTTATATCTCCTGCTCCTGGGAAGAAAGGGGGAGTTGTTATATATGTTAAACAAAACCTACCAGCTTGTCTGGTAGAATCAGATCCCCAGGGGAGATATGTGATGATTGAACTTGGTATATATGGTAAGAAAGTACTTATAGTTGGACTTTACGCTCCAAATCAACAACAGGAACAATTTTATAAACAGTTACATCAAAAAATAACTTTGCTTGATTATAGATCAGTGGTATTAATGGGTGATTGGAATGGTGTCTTAGATACACTAAGGGATAAGAAAGGTTCCTCTCCTTTTCTTAAACAAGCAAGGCTACCTAAAGCCTTTTTTGACATGAAAGAAGACTGGGAATTAAGGGATTATTGGCGGGAACGTAATCAAGAGGAGAGAGACTTTACTTTTTTTTCTGATAGACACCAATCTTTTTCAAGAATTGACTTTTTCTTGATTACCACGGACTTGTATAATAAAGTAAAGAATGTAAAGATTTTTCCTAGATCACTGACGGATCATAGTCCAGTTTGGATGGAGCTGATTCAAGAGAAAGAGGAAAGAAGATCTTGGAGAGTTAATGAAAATTTGTTTAGACAAGAAAAGAATGTTCAAAAACTAAAGGAGTGTTTAAAGGACTATTTTGCTTTGAATATGTATAAGGGGACTTCAATGTCAATGGTATGGGATGCAGGTAAAGCATTTATGCGCGGTGTTTTGATAAAAATGAATAATTTTTATAAGCGAAATCAGATTCAGAAACGTAGAGAACTTGAAGATGAAATTAAATTAAAAGAAAGGGCTTTGATTTTAAATCCTTCTGATGAGAGTATTAAAGAATCTGTAAAGTTATTAAGGTCACAATTTAATATGTTGATAGCAGATCAAGCTGCAACCAACTTATTATTTATGAAACAAAATACATTTTGTAATGCCAATAAGCCTGGGAGATGGTTGGCTTATCAATTAAGAAAGAAACAGAGACAAAGAATAATAGAGAAAATAAATTATAAGGGTAAATTAGTTTCTCAGAAGGAATTGATTAAAAAATCTTTTTTGGATTATTATCAAAACCTATATAAATCTACTAATATACAAATGCTAGATATAAATAAATATTTAGCTGAGGCAAGTTTTCCTAAACTGACTGAGGATCAGAAATATGAAATTAATGGTTTAATTACTAAGGAGGAAATTACCTCAGCAATTCAACAATTGAAATTAGGGAAAGCACCGGGTACGGATGGGTTAACAGCTGTTTATTACAAAGTTCTAATAGAGGAGATGATCCAACCATTACATGATCTTTTTAATGGTATTTTACAGGGTTTAGAGATTCCTCCTTCATGGCGTAGTGCTTTTATATCATTGATTCCAAAGGAGGATCAAGATCTTACCCTACCAAAAAATTACAGGCCTATATCTCTTTTAAATGTGGATTATAAGATATTTGTAAAAATTTTGGTAAATAGGCTTATGAGGGTGGTGCATCATCTTGTGCATAAAGATCAATCAGGATTTATAACAGGAAGGTATATGAAAAATAATGTCAGACAAATTATTAATTTACTAGAATATTTAGACAAGAACAACCAAGTTCCTGCAGGGCTCATATTTTTAGATGCTGAAAAAGCATTTGATCAATTGAATTGGCATTTTATGTTAAGAGTAATGGAAGAAATGAATTTTGGTGAAAAGATATTACAAGCCCTTACGGTAATATATCAAAAACAAACGGCACAACTTATTGTTAATGGAGGTTTGTCGGAGGTTTTTACAATAGAGAAAGGTACTAGACAGGGGTGTCCTTTATCGCCATTGTTGTTTGTTTTAACATTGGAAATATTATTGATCAAAATTCGAGAGTCTCAGGAAATTAAAGGAATATATGTTAATAAAAAAGAATATAAGTTGAGAGCTTTTGCGGATGACTTGGTTGTTACTTTGTCGCAACCTGATTATTCTGTAGTAAACTTATTACAGTTGATTCATCATTATGGTTTGGTCTCGGGTTTTAAGATTAACGTAAATAAGACTAAAATTTTACCTAAAAATATGTCGAGTCAGGAGAAGCAGATTTTGGTCAACTTGACGGGTTTTGAGATTGTTAATAAGGTAAAATATTTGGGGGTGATGCTGTCTGTTTCTAATGCAAAATTATTTAAAAATAATTATGAAAGGTTGTGGGTCAGGGTACAGAAGGACTTGAAGAATTGGGAAAAGTTGCAATTATCCCTCATGGGAAGAATTGCAGTGATAAAAATGAATATTCTACCCAAGTTTCTTTTTTTGTTTCAAATGTTACCAATTTTGAAAAATGAGATTAATTTAAATGAGTGGCAGAAGGGTCTCAACAAATTTATTTGGGCAGGGAAAAAACCAAGGGTTAAGTTTAAAATTATGCAAGACTTCCGTGAGAGGGGTGGACTTAAGGTACCAAATTTGAAATTATATTATGATGCGGTGGTTTTAACATTAATTAGTGATTGGGTAAATTTGACAAATTCTGAGATACTTTACTTAGAGGGATGGGATTTACTTTATGGGTGGCATGCCTATTTAATATTTAATAAAAAAATAGATTGGGCTTTTAAATCTCATATTTTAAGAATTTCTTTACTTAGGATTTGGAGAAAATATTATAAAAGTGATTTTAAAGTACCATTATGGGCTATACCTTGGCATGCGATAGAAGGAATAAAAAGAGGGGTTAAAATGGATATGGTGTCTTATAGACAGTTACTTAAATGGGATGGACAAAACTGGCAATTAAAATCACGGGAAGAGTTAGCACAAGAAAATTTTACTTATTCTTGGTTCCAATATAGGCAATTATTAGATAGATGGAAGATGGATTGTAAGGTGGGTTTTCTTAGAGAAGATGAAAACCTTATTAAGCAACTGAAGGATCAAAGACAAACCCACATTAAGAGAATTTATGGGGTTTTAGTTGAATTGGACTCAGAAACGGAACTAATTAAAGATTGTATGATTAGATGGGCGCAGAATTTTGGTGAGCCAGTTTCATTGGACACCTGGGAAACTATTTGGGTGAGAAATGTCAAATTTACTCAAGCACAGAACTTAAGGGAGAATTTTTATAAAATGTTTTATAGATGGCACCTTGATCCACAAAAAATGTCTTATATGTATCCTGACGTGCAACCCAAATGTTGGAGATGTGGTTATAAGGAGGCTTCTTATTATCATATTTGGTGGTCATGCAGAGAGATAAAAGCATTTTGGATTAAAATATGGTGGAATATCCAGAGAATTTTTAGAAGGAGGGTAAAATTTACTCCGCAATTATTTTTGTTAGGTATTGTTACAGATTGTGATACAAAGGAGGTTGTATTGATGTTAAACTTGATCACAGCCGCTAGGCTGTTAGTAGGACAATACTGGAAGAAGGAATCTTTGCCTACATTGCAGGAATGGTTTCTTAAAGTAGCTTATCTGGCAGAAATGGCAAAGATTTCGGCTTTCTTAAAGCAACAAACGCAAGAGAAGTTTTTTGCTGTTTGGGATAAATGGATAAAATTTATACAATTTAGATTGGGTATACAAAAATATTATATAGTTTTTTCATAAGTTTTATTTTCATATATATTATAGATAATTTTTTATATATATAAATATAAAGTTTTTAATTTAATTTTTATTTTTATTTTTTAAGCCTATATTCTGCTCTGGGAAGCTCAGGGGGGGGGAAGGGAGGGTTTTTTTTTTGGGGAGGGCTGGGGGATGGGGTTATTTATTTAATATATGTATTGTTTAGTTTTATTTTTCTGTATATGTTGCCTCTTGTTTTGTATTATTTTTCCTTTTTTGTGTAAAATTTATAAAACTTTCAATAAAAAAAAAAAATATTAATATAATGTATGTTTTTTCAATTAATCCTATTAAACAAGAGTACCCATTCTGCAAAATATAAAAAAGAGATATTTCGGAAACCAAATAAACTGACCAATAATTCATTGTAAAACTGAATTTCTGTAAAACATCATCACTGCAAATAACTTGCACTGGCCATCCTTATAAATGGCTACAATTAGAACATGTACTCATTTAAATAAACAAGATCATTATAACTTTAAAACAATATTTGATTTCATGCTTGAAAGAGAAATATGTCTAGTAAGGAATGTATTTCATTACTTCATTCTGAATAGTAAGTTTACTTTAAAACACATTTTCAACACATATTTACTTTAAAAAGTAGCATGGAGGAAAGAAAGATACGTAGCTTTGATTAGAAACTCACTGAATTGCTGAGAAGAACAATTTCTTTCCAGATTTCTCTGTCACACACACTCTCTTCGTGTATGTGTGCACACATTCATGTCTGTGTGAGAGGGAGAAACACTAGGGCTATGTTCCAAATCAGGTGATGTCAAAACACAATGAAACTATTTGGGGCAGATTTTTATTTACAAAAAAGATAGTATGTCTCAATTCAAAAAAATATTAAATGGCTCCAATTTATCAGCAATGCATGTGGGATTTTTTTTTTTTTTTTTACAAAACATGTGTCTGAACATGTAAAATGCTTGCTGGACAAGGGAGAAGGAAGAAGCTTTGAATTCAGAGATTAACAGTTTTGTCCTCTGCTAAGAAGTGACCTATGATCATATTGCAATATCTCAGCCTTTTTGAAAGGTTGGGTATAGAGGGCAAGCTTCTGATTGGGTAATGCAGGAGCTGATTGGCAAGGTATAAAGGATCTTCATCAAATAGTATTCACAGATGATTACTGGAAGTTTTAGGAAACCTGCTATAATCAAAAGAGATAATTTTCTGAATAAGATTTCTCTAACAGGTCTGGTCAGACTCTGAAATGACTGCAATCCTACATAGAACTAAATCAAAGTAGACCTTGAAAGAAGAATGCAGTATCTAATTTCCTCCTCACACAAACTGCTTTGTTATTGCTCTAATTTTTCATTGAGCCATGAACTAGTATGTCTGCACAGTAGCATTATCAAGAAATCTAGTCTTGCCACTCAGATTGGACAAGTTCTGAGTGGCAAGTTGGCTGCTGAGAAGACAGATGATTAAAATGGGGAATATCTCTGTTGCAATAGCTGGATCTCAACCACTTTAAAAACAGAATTAAAAAAAAATAAGCCCTAAAAATTTTAATACTATAGAAGGAATTGTCCCTGCTTAATTTCTTCAGAAATCATATTTTAAGGCAGGAAACATTCCAGTAAATCTATGTGGAATCAATATAGGACATTTAATTATTATTACAAAATATTACTAGAGGCCTGTATCTGCCCTTTGAACAAATCAGGCTGTGAGATTGAATTTGGGTCAGATCAGAGATTTACTCTTCCGAGCTCACAGAACAGCCCAAAGCACATATTTCAGTAGAGAGAAGTTCCCTGAAGATGGGCTCCAGCATGAGTCCAAAATCTTTGGTCCCGGTGACTGATCCAAATTCAATCTCGCATCATTATCCTGGGACACATATATTTGCCTTCAAATCAGGTTGTCTCTGTACAGTGCTAAGAACTACATTAGACTATCACTCATTTTATCTGAAAAGATCAATTATTAATATTTATTAATATTTTGTTCTTACTTATACCTCATACTAACCCTATTTGAAAACACAAGATTCAGAAGCACAGTAAACAAATAAAAAAGAGATAATCCATCTATCGGCCATATTTTCATTCTACAAAGAATGGGTAAGTCAGCATTTTTTGGTTTGGTCTTAGTTGCCGTAAAGGTAGACATCTTTTTCAGGCATTATACAAAATGATGCAGGTACCACAAACACTTTTTTAATAATTAACTGAACTTTCACAAGAATGTAAGATCCCTCCTGTAAAATTAATAGCTTGAATTATACATCTCTCTAAGCCATCAATGTCCAACTTTTAGCTTGCCTGGGCTGCACTGGGTGAAAAGGAATAATCTTGGGCTCTATATAATAAAGTATATAATTAATGCATATACAGTAAATCACATAATAATGTTAAAAGTTTATGATCTTATGGGGCTCACATTACTAGCTTTCCAGGACCACATGTAGTGCATGCTCCAAATCAAATCAAACAACCATATTTAGCGATAGCATTGTATATAACACAAGCCCAAATGTAAATGAGCTGGCCAGTGAGAAAATTTCTTTTGTGATGTCCAACAACTGTCTGTGCAATAGCTGTTTCTATCAGCTAAGACTGTAGTTTCTGTATTTCACTTCATCTTAATCACACTGTTTCAGAAGCCCTCAAATACCACAGAGACTTACCATCCCTTCATGAAATACAATGATGTGGACTGCAGTGCACAAAGGTGTTAAGGATGCAGTTAAGACAACTGCTTATAATACAACAGACTAATATAACTATAGCTCTGGAAAACTATTTTTGTGTTGAGTTTGACAGCCATGCATGTTTGTTCACAGTTTTTGAGGGAAACTAATGCAGAGTCTTTTTGCATCTGCTACTTTAGTTCTTAATTCAAAATGCTGGCTTTGATCTTTGAAAAACAGAACAAACCCCATCCATCTTAAGAAATAATTATCTGGTGTACAATAGGTGGCTGAATGTGCTTTTGTGGTCATTTAGCATGTTGTTATGCTTTTCTGGTATTGTTCAGTTGCCTTATAGATCCTTTTCAACAGAAACACAAGTTACAAATATTTAGTTAAGACTGTCTAAACGTGTTATAATTTTTAGTCCAAATGAACAAACAATAAAAAGAAGAAATATGTCCATCCTACCAAAGCGGATGTGACTGAATCCCTATTTATTAAAGTTTAGGAAGCTAGCAAAATAAAGCAAGAGGTATTAATGCACCAAAATGAAGTCTTAGTACCATGATGGATTGCCTCTTGTGTTATTTTTGACCTCAGCTGATTATTTATTTTACTGCAGTGTTATTGAAAGAAAACATTTTCCACTCCTCAGGTGCCAAAATAACCTGGCCAACTTTTAATGTTATATTCCCTGGGGAAACCTGAAGGAAAGTTGTTATTTGTTATTGCTCTATTTTTTCTAAATCTTCCACTATTTTTTTCTCTTTATTTTTTAATTAAATAACATACAATCAAGAACAACTTCTCCACAAAAATATTCTTTTTCATAGATAAAATACAGATAGTTATAAAAAAATTCTAGATTTTCAGTACAGAATATGGCACTGTTTCATAAGACGTTTTTGTTTTTAGGCTTAATTTCTCATCCCTCCTAATACAGATAATATTAACTGATCTCACATTTAGACAAAGTCACATTTGACTGACAAGGGGCCATTTCCCAGGCTTCAATCACTTCGCTGGCTGTCTTTGTACCTGCTCAGCCAACAATCTTGTATCTGCTTAGGCAACAAGGCAATGTTTTAATTTTAAAAGAATAAAGAATAAGTTTAAATCTATAGTCCTACAATCAAAATCTTCATTTTCAATAAGCTTTCTCAAATATCGTGCTAATTGACATATAAAATGTATTTAGTGTTACCATAAGAATATATGGCTTTTACCTTTGCTCTTAGTGATATCTTTATTCACAATAGTAGGGATATAATAAAATAAGCAGTTCAAAGTCAATTACTGTTTTTTTTGTTATACTTTTATAATCAAATTGTTTAATAGAAACAAGCAAATAAATAATCACACATACATACTAATGAGTTCCTGAATTGTATTTTTTAAAAAGTCTATCAAATTGACAATAACAGAAATCATGTAGCAGTTCATGCCAATATACTGCTAATTATAACTGCTACATACCTGAAGACTGAATTATTTATTATTTTATTTATTAAATTTGTATGCCATTCATCTCTATACCAAGCAACTAATTAGAAAAAAATATTCATGAACATTAAAATCCTTTTAAAAACATTGATGAAAATGACAGATATCAGTAGCTATTAGTTGTGCATGCAGCAAGAATGTATTAATAAAACTCCCCAATATGCTTGTATTTTTTTCCAGTCACCTAAAAGTTAAGGTATATACCAACTAGTCTCTATTTAGAAAATGTTAATTCATATGTCCTTATATCACATATCATTGGATTTTAACAGAAAATGGGTAATTTTTATAGAACTAATTATGTTGTCAAAAACAATCAATAGCAGGTTATTTTAATTCACAAGGTGGAATTTTCCAAAGTGGCTGTGAAGAAATGGTTTTTTAACACACTTTAATGTATGTACTGTGATCCGGCTTCCCATATAATACATACAGGAAAAGTTGTGCACAAAATATGCAACATAATGTACTTTAAAATTCTATGTTGTCTATATACAGAACAAGCAATATCTAGAAGAATCTACTGAAGCTTCTAGAGTAGTTGGTGGCCTGGAGGGAAAGAGAGGGGCAGGCACAGGGCCAAGTGCATATGCATGACACAAACAGGGTGGTACGAGTGTGAACACGACACAAATGGGGGCAGTGCTAGCACCTGCGCGACAGGGCAGCGCTAGCGCAAGTGGGGGACGTGCACACACACATGCATGTGCACTAGCCAGCCATTCACGCAGCCCAGTGACCAAGAGGCCACGGCCAGGTAATGGGCCGTGGCTCACAGACTGGGGAACCCTGTTCTAAAATATCTAGTTAAATCCATGTGTTCTTACATGTAAATGAAGATATTTGATTGTTTAGACTACTTGCTAAAACATATTGCACAACATGAATCGCTTCCAAGAAATTGTAATTAAAGTTCTACACAGAATATTTTAGCTTGTAAATATTTCAATCAATATTTTGAAGTATATTAATATATTTATACACTTCAAATATAAGATTATAAATATGAAAAAGTACATATAAACAAATATGCTTAATATGTGTAACTGCCAAGCAAGTTCATCATCCTTTATATATCCAAAATTTACAGACTTATCCAACACATCCATCATTCATACTACAAGACTATAAGCAGTCTTCAGCTTTCATCCATTCACTCAGCAACTATTCAAAGTTACAGTAGTGCAGAAAAAATGGACATACAACTGATCCTTGACGTTTTGACAATCACAATACCCACACAATCATGTGATCACAATCTGGGCATTCAGCTCATGATTTTGACATTGCAAGGAGCTGCAATACATGTTTACCATTTGCAACCTTCCCAGCTGGCTTCCCACAAAGTAATTGGAAAACCTGGCAGGGAAAGTCACCAATTATTACAGTAAATTTCTCCCATCCATAGCACACATACCTGCCCATGCGCAGCCTCTGCAGTTCTTCCCTAGCCCTCTCCCATTCTCCCTCTACTTGTCTGTGGCTTGCGCTGGATTTTCCAAGTCCTTCCTGGCCTTCCTAGTGTTGTGTTCATTACCAGGGACATCCATTGTAACCTGAAAATTATTTGAAATCAAAATCTCTCTTCTGGTTTTCTATATATATTTGTGTTCAAGATCAAAGCCCACATTTTAGTTCATCAATGCACCTATGCTTGCCTTTTCTAACTTTTACTTTCTATTGTATACATTCCCATTCACGTCATTCAGTTCTCCAATTCTACCTCCCTCAATTATATTAAAGCCTCTGATCTCATTATATAAAAAGGCTACTCCTCCCCATTAGAGGCTATATTAAAAAGGGTATCTTATACTCTTTCCATATTTCAGCGGTTTTGTTCCAAATTGTCCTGCACACTTATCTCAAATGCATAATAACTCCAATTTTTCAGACCTCAAAGGCCACATCAGGGCACAGGCACATATCTGTCCATGCACACATAACCTTCTGTCCCTCTTTGCTCAGAGATTTTGTTCTAAATCTGTTACAATTTTCAACAATGAAATAATGCTCCATAACAACCCACTAAACAACAAGTTTGATAATCTGAACAAGTGGAGCCCAGTGTCCAATATTCCATATTTAGTCAAACCATAAACAAATGCAGTGGTGTTGTGGCTCCAGAAACAATAGTAGGAAATAGATATCAAAACCTTTTAATGTGGGATTAGGTTTGTATTTGGCACAGAAAAGCCAAGGTTACCCATTAGATAGTTGTCTAGAGCAAACTATGACTCTACTGATACCATTAGGTATATCAGTGGCCTTTGTTGCCATTGACAGTGGTATCTTTTTGGAGCAGCTGAGTAAACTAGGAGTAGTATTTTTGTTTCTACCCTTATTTATTTGGGTGCTAACAGGGATAATACCTAACATCTGCCTGGCCTCCTGAATTTTGAGCTGCATTTTGCAAAGTTCTGTTCTGTTTCTTAAGTTATTTAATAGCTCTATATTCTTCTTTAAGGAACAGATTCATAGTCTGGGGGGTCTTCCTTCTTCCAGAGCTGATACTGAATAAAAGTTCCCCTTACTGTCTCTAGCTTTAACTGATTAACCACCTATTCCTCCTTACTTGCTTTCCAAGCCCAATTTAAAAGGCTCAGGGTGTATTACAGGGCTCATATTTCAAATAAATTGTTACTGAATGTGAAATTGGCCCTATCTAGGACAGGAGTGCATTTAACACCTCCTTTTACATAAACCGTTCTCCAATTTTGAAGAATTAGACAATTTTAGAACTGCTTCAGAATTTTAAAACAGATATTATCTATGCTTGCAAGATCTATTGGACTAGGCATAATATGGCATTCTAAATACCAATTCAAATGAATGGGAGAAGAGAACTAATGAACAAACAGGACAACAAAAATTGTTTTACCTAATTGAGACTGGAAAAACCAGTTAGCGGTAAGCAAGAGAAAGTTATACCTTAGTCAATATGTTCAAATTATTCATGATTTGTAGATAGTAAGACATAATGTAGCAATCTATCTTCTAATTGCCATGTCAGTATTTTCATAATAATGAGGAAACAAAGCTCTGATATATCAGATATGCTGAAAAATATACAAAAGAAGAATTGTGAAGTCATATATTCAAAGAAACGATGCCTTCTATCTTTCAAACTCAAGTTAAATCACATGTCAGAATAAATAACTAGGCAAAAAATGGCTTTTGAAGGATGGGCAGAAGCTACTGAATATTATGAGTTATCCAAGGGCAAAAAAAAAAATTGGAGAAATAAGATGAACTTTGATTATGCCTATTTTCTAAACAGATTTCCTTATACTAAAGATAAATATTATTTTGCCCAAGATTGTTGCAAGTTCCTGGACAGCTGCTCTTAGCAGATGCTAGCATGAATATTATAAAAAAAACTCAAGACTGTTTTCATCAACAGCATCTTTCTAAAATTCTCATCAAGTAGCTATGAAATAATTAGATAGTTGTGAAATAAAGTATTGGGTGATTTCAGATGTTACATTCCAGAAAAAAGGACAGCAGTATTGTTTTACATTATTGGAATACTAAAGAGCAAGAATTGTGAATACCATTTTTTTCCAAGTTTTCTGCTTTTCCATTTAAAGAGACTCGTGTTATTGTCACATGTTTACAACTTTTGGCAGCATTTTAAATTAATGCCAGAATACATGTAAGTTTTAAAAAAAGACAGTTGTATTAGCTAACAAAAATGTTATTTTCTCATTTTTAAGCCACTGCATACATTAGTATTATAGAAGAAAAAAACTATATTGAACACTATATACCTGAACTTTTTTATCACAATATTGGTTATAACATGTCTATCGTCTTGTTGTATTTAACAGAGACCAATATCTTTAAAGCAATTTAAAAATTCAGTGAATTTTTAAAAAAGTATTAATACAGAACACAGTATAGACTTTGATCATATGTTTAGGATATTTTTCTTTTAGGCCTGTCCTAACACTTTATCTTCAGACACATTATATACAAAACTAAGGGCATGGGTTATTCAACAGTTAGCTATTCTAATCCATAATAAATTTTAATTTCATTAGAAGTTGTATGCACTTAAAAAAGACCTCCTATAGACCAGGGCTTTTCAACCAGTGGTACGGGTACCACCTGTGGTACATTGGCACCTGGCAGGTGGTACGCGACCATCCTAGAAAAGTGGTAGCGGGGGAGGGGAATGAGCTGAACCGTGGCAGCACCGCACAAACCTGAGCGAGAGAGATGGCTGGAGCTGCAGGGCTCAGTGGAAGCGCCAGAATCAGTGCTGCTTTCCAGCTAATCAGCGCTTCTTCAAGGCTGTCAGGGCTCAGCGGAACTGCCAGGATCAGCACCAGGCTCCAGAAGAAGCACCGATCAGCTGGAATGTTGCAGCCTCTCCATCTTCTGATTTACATTCAGATGCCTGGCAACTGATTCACATCACGAGCATCTTGTGATTTACATTCAGATGCTTGGCAACTGATTCATATTTATGACGGTCACAGTGTCCCGGGTCATGTGAAGTGACCAAAATCTGCTGCAAACACCCAGCAGACGGGGGGGGGATAAAAACCAAACACTCCCCACCCCACCCCCGCTGCCAATCCCCAACAGAAATGCTCACAACAATGAAAACCTCGGACAGGAGGAAGAGCACCGCTGGGCGGGCAGGCAGGTGTCTTGGTCGGCTGTGGCTTGGGGGACACTTTTTTCTGTGTCATTGTAACTTCGAACAGTCACTAAGAGAACTGTTGTAAGTCGAGGACTACCTGTACTTTATCACTTTTTTCCTTTTGGGGGGGGCATCAAATTTTTGACACCTTGCTAGGCAACTGGTGGTACCCAGATGCTGCCATATCCTAAAAGTGGTACAATGGGTGAAAAGGTTAAAAAGCCCTGCTATAGACTACCATGATTTTTTTTTAGTTTACCCAAACTCCACAGATCTACAGTCACTGTTGCAAGCCTGTAAAACCTGCAAGCAGATCAAGAATAAGGCTGTTCCGGATTCAAGCAGTTTAAGTAACTTCATATAAACAGAATAAAAACCAAGGCTACCTTCTTTAATGGAAAACAACAGCACCAACTTTACAGGGACGTTAAGTCCAGTTCGATCCATTTAGGTGGATTCGACTACAATTCTCAAACCACATTCACCCAACCACAGAAATGAAGGAAGCACTCTGTGGTTTTAGCGCCTCAAACAGTTTCATTCCAGCGGCCTCCCGCTTCCCGAGAAGCAATTTGTAGGCAGCCGCCCTCATGCACCATCGAGGCAGCCCAGACTCCTCAGGTGCAGCCGAAGGGAGAGGCGTGGCTCTCCTCCGAGCTGGGCCGCCCCTTCCTCCCCAGCGCCGGCCCTCTTGACCCAGCGCCGACTCACCTCAGTGGCCGGGATGTTCACGACACCTGTCGAGCGCCTTTTCTCCCTCAGCTTCCTTTTCTCGATCTGCCCTTTTCCCTTCCGGGCGCTGGGGCCGGAGGAACCTTTGCCCTTGGGAGCCACTTTCTCCTCCTCGGGAGAAGTTGGCGCCGCGCTGGTTCTGCTCCCCGGGGGCTCCGCGCCTCCTGCTCTGGTTCCGGCTGTCGGCTGGGGTTCCTTCGGAGTGTTTCTGGCCAGAGGAACGCAATTCATGCCGCCGCTGCCATTGTTGTTAAGTTCGGCGGCGGTGGCGGTGCTGCCGCCACCGCCGCTGGTGGCAATATTGGTGGCTACTTTGCCGTCACTCACCCCGGCCGGCGGTGCTTGTTTGGCCCGCATCTTCTCCCGCTTAGCCTTCCATTCCTCCAAGAAGTCGGTCGTGGCGGCGCCGCTGCCCCGATAGCCCCCGGTGGCCATGTTTCAGGGAAGCTGCCGATTCCTTTGCGCCCTCCCAACGGGCCCCGACGTGGCTGCTGACCTTCCGAGGTTTACTAACCGAGCGGACTGGCAAAAATTGCTGGCCGACCAAGAAGAGGCACCGAGCGGGGTGGGGAGGACTCCACGCAACCCTCTACAAGAAACAAAAGGGAGCGAGTGAGGCGACCGCGCTGTCTCCAGGGAGGTGCTCCTCCAGATCCCCAGGGCAGCCCCCCGATTGGGTCTACCACAGCCCCTCGGGCTTCGCTCCGCTTCTCTTTTGGCCCGCCCCCATCTCCGTTTACCAGCAAATCTGAACTCTCGGCTACTCAAATCCCAGCTAACTTTATGCGCTGGAATGGCTGTAATTTTCACACACTCTCTACGCGCGAATCTTACCAACTCTTTTCTTTCTCACGCGCGAAAAGTTCCTATGCAAGCTGTTCTTGCCGGACCTCTCCGCTTTCCTCTCAAACCAATGTGGACGGAGGATGGGAAGCCTCGGAGTCAGGCAGGTACCCTGTCTTAATCTAATTTTGCTGGACACGCGTGTTTCTCGCCTTTCCACGGGCTACATAGCTCCCCCACCGAGCAGTTTCCTTTCTCCAACTCCCGGCGTCGACGAAGATTTGCATTCATAGCACCCTAACCAGCGCCGTTAAGCGCCGGAGCATGCTCGAGCTTACCCTCTGATGCTGCCTAGTAAGAAGACTGCGGAGGCTGCGGCTTCCCCAGGTGAGTTGCCTGGTTGCGGCGCGGAACCCCCGAAGCAGGTCCCGGAAGACTTAGCAGCGCTCCCGAAACTTTCCGACAGTCTCCCATAGGGCGGAGGGTAACCAGACGAAAGGAGCCGAGGCGGGAGCGGAAACTGCCGAGGTGGCCCTGACAATGGACAAAGGGGCGTGGAGAAGCCTTCCTAACCCTGAGTGCCTGGAGAGATAACTCCCTCCGAGTCGATTTGTAAGCTGAGCGCAGCAGCGCCTGTTTGTTTTCACGACGCCCGGGATGCCTTCCATAACCGCCCGGATGACAGACGGCTAATACCTCCGTTCTTCTAGGATAGCATAATTTCTTCCTCCTGAAGTAAGACCAGTCCAGAGGAAATAGATATCAGGCGTACAGATATTAGCATTGGATTATTAACACGAGTACTGTACAAAGTCTGTTCTATGAAACTGAGATCTACTTCCTCCTCCATTTGCAACTTTAACATTTCAGTATTAACTTTTGGGGCAGGATTCTTATGTGAACTAAAGTTATTGAAATTACATTTTCAATACAGCAGTTCACAGTTGGGGAATCCAGGCTCGTTTTACATCACTTTCCTAATTATATTTAAATAATGAAACTTTAATAACAGCAAAATCTATCTGCATAACTAATTGTCACAGGTAACTTATGAATATTTATTTTATTGGAGATTGATGAATAAAGGGCATATTTACAATATTATACTTTTGAAACAATATATTCTTCTGTATAGGCACATGTCATTAGATTTAGAATTGTTATAGTGAAATTACAATGGATAATTGAGTACTTGCTAGGGGGAAAAATCAAGCCAGATTTCAGCTTTAAGGACCTGTTTAGTGCTGATGATTGTCTTATGAATAACAAGCAAATAAGTATCTGATTGATTAAAATTGAAATTTTATTTGTAGGAATCTTCTCTTCTGATTAATGATAATGTATCATTTGTTTCACAGGTGTGCTGTAACTTTCTCCTATCTCAAATATTACGTGGGAATTGATGCTGAATTGATTTTATAGACATTTATTAGAGTAAGGTTGAAAATCTTATGGTCTTTGGATATCCCTCCTTGCTTGATTCTGTGCTGACTCAATCTTTTTTTTCAGCAAGTTTTGATTAGAAAACACCACAATGTTCTTTCCTCCTATTTTTCCCACATTAGCCTTCTTGTAATGTGGGTCAGGATGAGTGAAAGTACAGGTGGTCCCTTGGTTATGACTATTCAAAGTTCAGCAACTGTTCAAAGTTACAGTGATGTGAATGAGCAGGGACTTATGATCCCATTGCAACACTCAGTGGTTACGTGATTGCAATCTAGGTGCTCAGCACTTCAAGTGCTTTTTTGCAATTATGATGTTGCAGCAAGTCATATCGCATGATCCCAATTTCCAATGTTCCCTGCTGACTTCTCAAAAAGGAAAGTCAGTGAGGAAGCCAGCAGATGATCATAACTTGCTTCTGGGTTTTTTGCATCTGTGTTTCATAGCGCCTGTCCACTGCATCTCCACCTGTCATTGGCACCCATACTCCTAGTGCCTGCCTGTGGTACACTCCATAGCACCTGTCCACTGTGCTCATTCTCTCATAGTGCTCATCTGAAGCCCTCACCTACCAACCTGCTTGCTTGGGACTCCTGCATCTTCGTGCATAGATCTGGGAGTTACGATGGCAACTCGGGCTCAGGGATTGACATTGTACTTTATGACTGCATCACTTAGTGACAGAAATTCTGGTTTCAGTTGCTGTCATAACCCAAAGACTACCAGTTTTTATCCCTAAGGGGAAATGAGAATTTATGTTTTCCTAGTTTCTGATCCACCATCCTAATCAGTACACCAAAGGCAAGCAATTTATTTGGCCAATCTCAGTCCTAGAGGAGATCAACCCTGACTGCTCTTTAGAAGGCCAGATGCTGAAGTTGAAACTCAAGTACTTTGGCCACCTAATGAGAAGGAAGGACTCATTGGAGAAGAGCCTAATGCTGGGAAAGATTGAGGGCAATAGAAGAAGGGGACGACAGAGAATGAGATGGCTGGATGGAGTCACTGAAGCAGTAGGCATGAGCTTAAATGGACTTCAGAAGATGGTAGAGGACAGGGAGGCCTGGAGGAACATTGTCCATAGGGTCGTGATGGGTTGGACACGACTTTGCAACTAACAACAACAACAACTACAAATAGCATAAGAAAAGTATTTCATTCCTGTTTTCCTTTCCTATTCACAAAATGAGTATTGTGTTATTGCAGTACAGCCTTACATATAACTTCAGAAATCTATTCTTTGAGTTCACATATTACAGAAATTAAAGTCCAACAATACAGTACATAGTACAGCCTTGGCTTGATAGATATTAATAATGCAAGAAGTCAATAAGAAAATACCTAGCAGTTTCCAAAAAATGGATTGATTATTAAGCATAATAATAGTGAATATAAATACAGTCTAATAAAAATGCAATATTAAGCACTTCATTTCCTGCTTATGACTTGAACAATAAGCCACTAACTCTCTTACTTTGATGATCATCAGACTTAAAATTACTTCTTAAGCATCAATAGTGTTGAGGTGGCAATAATACATATTCATAGTTTTTATGATATATTTTTAAAGTATGTTCTAAGATATTTTCATATTCAATATTTTCTTGATAGTATTTTTATAGAGAACAGGGATGCAAAATGTGCGGCTACTTTTTGCAGTTTGGGAAGATTTAAGGGGCAAAATTGAGTCTTAGCATCCTGGATATTGAAGCAGATGAAGCCCAGATACATGTTCTTCCTTGCCCCTTAAAATCAGGCTGGTCCTCTGGAATGGCCTCTCATACACAGTCCAATTAGCCTCACATGTATCCTCACCTTTCAGAAGCAGCTAAAAACAACTTTTCCAGAGAATACTTGGAGGCTGCTTACCAGATGCTAATAAACTTTTGTATTTTTTAATTTTATCATTATGTGTTGTTTTGTAACAAGATGTCAGCTGCCAAGGATCTGCTTATGATTGTGGCACGATGTAAATAAACTCTTCAAAGATATCAGCAGTAATTTGAATATAAAATTAAAATTATAATCTCATGTACATCCTAGATTTTTTTAAAACCAGTAAACAGGAATTGGATCAGATTCTTTCTTGTATCTGAACTCCATCATTATATCTGCATCCATCATTGTAGATCTTTCCCAACAGTAAAAAACGGCATATTTTAAATTCCAAAAACAGTCACTGACCCCATGATCTGTTATTGATTAACTCAAGTTCTGTTGTGGTGAGATTGGTGAAGTGCCCATTGCTAAAATGCTGACTTAAGATGTTTGCATTTCAATAGCGGTATCTCTTAATGGGAGCTTTTGGGGATAACTTTTAAATAAATGTAAATATAGGTTTTCATGCTCTTTTCACCCACTTCTTGGAATAGTGGAATATACATATTTCCACTAGCTCTTATTATATGTTTCCAATTATAATAAGAAAACATTTGTCCATCTCAGGGGGAAACTCATTCCAGAAGATGCCACTACAGAGAAGGTGCACTTCCTGGGTCTTGAAAGATGTCACCGTTTAATCAAGGAGATTTAGTCTGCCAGATCATACCAAATAGGCAGAAACCACAGATCAATAATAAATAAATAAATGGACCCTGTAAGCACCTTGAATCTTACCCAAATGCACGGTGGCAACCATAGGTGTATTCTGGCAAGTCCATATATTGCCGCATTCTGGATTAGCTGAATTTTCCAAGTGATCTTCAAAGACAGTAATGTGCAGAGTGGATTGAACCATGAGGTGACAAGGATGTGAGTGACTGTCTACATTGCTAGAGAATGTACAAATTGCACATCTCTTCTAACTGGGGAAGTGCAATCCTTTCCAGAAGTAATGTTGGAAAATCCCTGGGTCTGTGAGGTCCCAACAGTCTTGGTAGAATTCAAATGGAAGCAGCTTTTCCCCATCTAGGCCTGAGTAGGTCCTAGGCATTACGACATATCGTCAAAAGCCTTATTTGGTCAGCCTGGGATTGAGATACAATTGGGTATTACTAATGGAGAGTGGCAAACAGAGTCTGCTTTGAGCTGCATTGATTTGAGAGGACAGCAAATGGCAGCATTATATAATCCATACATACATTATATAGTATTGCTATAGGGTATTGTTGGTTTCTTAAAAAGCTAAATGCAGATCTAAACTTTTTTCCCCAAAGACATAAATGATACTAATACAGGAAGTAGTGAAATGTTCTTTCTTGGTATTTAAAAAGACTGGATCATAATGATTTTGTGTACTTTAATATCTTGCTTATTAGTTCCACATGAATATTGTACAAAAATTCTGTATAATTTCCATGGAAATAAACCTCCCTTACCTTCATAGGATCGCATAGAAATACTTGTTCTTTTTTCTAGCCCTGAAGGCTACATTAGTAAATCTTGACATAAAATGTCACAAGCAAAAGAGCAGGCAAAAAAGGCTGCTATAGCCTTGTATTTTATTAATGAATTTATTTTTTTTAATTAATAAATATAGGTAACTTTTGAAACAAAACTGTTTCAAAATAATTATGTACCTCTTTGGAGTGATATCAAAAATGATTTACAAAGATGGGACAAACTACATTTATCATTACTGGCAGAATTTCAGTAAGTAAAATTAATGTTTTACCAAAGATGCTCTTTCTGTTCCAGATAACACCAATACTTGCAACAGACATTTCATTTAAACAGTGGCAGAGGGATATCTCTAAATTCATATGGCGAGGAAACAAATCAAGAATCAAATAAAAGTTATTGCAAGATGCCAAGGAAAGAGATTTGAAATTGTATTTTGATGCATGCTGTTTGGTTTGGTTAAAAGAGTGGGTGAACCTCCAGAATAAGAGGCTGCTTGATTTGTAAGGCCATGGATTAAGATTTGGATGGCATGGGTATTTATGGTACAATAAAGTTAAAGTAAATGTTGATTTTAATAATAATTTTATTAGACATGCCATATTAAGAATTTGGAATAAATATAAAACAAGGTTTTTGTTGCGTCCTTGGCGGGAAAACAGACACGAGAAGCAGCTGGAGTTCTCAGGTTCTTTTATTCAGCGTTCAGCTTACAGGAAGATGGCTTCAGCTCAGCCCAAACGCCTCGCAGCCCCTTATATAGGCAACTCCCGGGTAAATGGGTTACTTTTCCCGCGCCAGCACCCGCGCATGCGCACGGCGCTGGCGACAGCCTGTCTGGTCCCGGGCAGCTTTGCACCTGCCCGGGACTGCCTGCAAACGCCCGAGCCGTTTGCAAAGGCTCGGGACATAACACCCCTTTCCCCCGGGCTAAAACTACTACCAACATACAGCATTTATTTTATATAACATTTTGCTCCCCAGTGCTCCCACTGTTTACTGGCCTTTGCCTTGCCAGCAATGTTATGTAGTCTTCTAGGTACTTGGGAGATTTCTTTGCTCTCTGTGACCTTCTTAGCTGTGGGTTACTGGCATAAGTCCCCTGACTGGAGGGAGGCGTGAGCCTATTCTCTCTATTGTGCCCTGGTGTCTTCCAAGGACTGTGCCCCGATGCCTGGCCTGCTTGCTTGCCCACCGGGCTCGTCAGGCCAGGGCTTCTGTTGCTTTGTGACCTGGTTGACCTGCCTAGCTGTAGACCCTCAGGCCCCTTGAAGTGATAGCCGCTGCTGGGCGTCTCTGTAGGACCTCCTAGGTCAGTCCAAGACCTGTCAGGAGGCTGTCCATTCCCTGAACCCCATTCTGTGTTTGGGCTCATGTGGGTTTCTGTACTCTCCCAAAACTCAGGTGTCCCCTGATTTGTGCTAGGGGTGTTGTAGTCGGGACTTGGTTCCTCGACTAGCTCTGTGTATGTTTGACCCTCTGTAGGATTTGGGGTAAGGTCAGGCCAACTTTGGGGATTGTGTGCCAGCTCTCTTGCGGGGAATGATTTGTTGGGATGCCCCCGGGTATCCTCCGTGA